GAATGGACGAATGGACGAATGGACGAATGGACGAATGGACGAATGGACGAATGGATGGGATGCTATAAATGAATGGATGGATGGATGGATTGATAAATTTGAGCTGGAGCTTATCCGATTCATGTATGAAAACTAAAAAAGCCTCTGACTGGTTTAAATTAAAATAATATACCTGGATAACTTGTCGGAACAGGCATTGTTGGACAAATAGGGGGAATCTTCACTGGTTTAGGCCATGGAGCTGGCCACTTTGAAAGCGTACAAAGTCCATTAGAGCTAACACCGTCAGGATACAAAATGTCACAATCACTTTCTGGAATACCATAAGTTTTAAAATCATCTTTGCAAACGTTCATGATCTCGTTGCAAAGTGACTTGCAAGGCACTTGAACCGTGGTCGTGTTGCCAAAGCAAGGAGGAAATCTCGTAAAGCATGTAAATTTCTCAGCGTTGGGTGAACATTTGCTATCAATAATCCCTTGTAGAATGTGAGCATTCGAAAGAGATTGAGTGGTATTGGAAACAAAAGTATAATTGTAATGAAGATCATCACTACACCGTTGGATGCCAACCTTATGACAGACATTCTTATCGACTCCTAAATTAATAATAAGAAAAATGTATTAAAATTGCTACGAAAAATTATGAATGCCGCGACTTATGGAATGGAATTAGATAAGTACAATACAGATAACGAGGGTAGTACTCTATATGCCTTATTGTCGATAATGTTTTGGTGGCAGAGTCGCCAAATATACAAAGACTTTCCATGAAAAGATGCCTTTGCACCTTATCAGTTACGACCAACTTTATAAGTCAGAACATGACAATTTTTTTCAAAACCGCTAAATTCGAAGTGTTTACGTTTGTGTGATTATCGAACTGTAAAATATATGTAGGATTAACAACTTGAAGTCATGCAAATCGATAAAGCAACTTGGCTCGATCAGTTGGCGTTTCTTAATGTTTAAATAAAACTACTCTAGAGCGCATGCAGTAAAACCATGAAATAAAAACAAGTTGCAACTGACAAATAGTAGCTATTTAGTAACTAATAGTTGCTGTCACTCAGCCAGAACATTCATCATACAAAGAGAGGTACACAAGAGACCATTTTTGTCTTTTGTTCTGGTTGAGTGCTAGCAACTATCAGTCACTAAATAGATACTATTTGTCAGTATCAACTTTATTTCATGGTTTTACTGCATGCGCTCTCTAGCATTGTTTTTTATCATTCGTAACTAGACTGAGAATGAATGTATGTTATGGTGCCGAATATTTGTCAAACAAATGAAAGGTCCTGAATGTGAACTTTGTTGGCGTATTTATATTCAGGGTTATATATAGATATAAATATTCAGTCACATCTTTGTATTGCAGTTAGTTTCCATGTTGATTGTTAATATCGTTGTATTTTATTTTGGTTTTCTTATTAATTTGTTTTTCTACTGAAGTACGTAAACGTAACTGTGTCCGTTACCCGAATTAAGAGAAAGACTGCATAATCAAGCAATAAACACTCTTAGATCGAGTATATTGACATACCACTTTTGGCTTGACTCGTGTTGAATCCCTCAGGAAGAAAACAATTGTAGGTTTCGTTATTGTACTCGGGAAGTAGATCACACATTGCAGTCAACATCCCATACATAGCAGCTAAGTTCAACTCCTGGATACAATTGTGAACGAAATCATTGCAAACACTTCGACAAGGAAGCACAGGTCTTGGAACTCCTGGAACACATTTAGGAAAGTGCAGAGAACACAGAACGGTTGCACTGTATTTGGAACAACTTTTAAGCAATGGCAGATGAACTAATAGTTCTGTTCCTTTGACCTCTTGGTATGGTGTGCCATTGATAGGAGAAAAAGGAGCTGTGAAGTTGTATCCTGCGGACTTGTTACAAGCAGGATGTATTAATCTCTCACACTGTTGGTCAAGACAACTCACCGAATTCAAAGCCACCATGAAAACTAGAGAAAAAATCAAACGTGCTAGTCCAGAATTCGTCGAAAGTGATGGTGATAATAGTGTTGCCATATTCTTCACTAAGTAATTTGGACAAGAATAGCCCACAAATCTGATCCACCGTCTCGTATCAGTTTGATTAATTTTCCAAAACAACATCATGAACCACAGGTAGCCCAATGCTTTTGTTGAACCTTGCATTAATTAATAATTCATGCCGCGTGCTTTCGTTATACTAGATATCGATAAACATGCACATTTTAGGACTGAATATGGTGTATTAATGAATATATATTTATTAAGAGTCCTTGTCATTCTCTAAAGACGTCCGAGGCACAGAACTTGACTTGCGTGACAATAGCGGAGCGCAGTCGTGACGTCACGAAATTGTGACCCCTGCTGAGATTCGGACAAACAAATCAGCCTTTAAGAGATGGCATGGCGGCAACTTCGAAAATTACGTCGAGTTTTATCACTGTTCTCAATGAAAATGATGGCGTTCCTGGTTCAAAATTTGAAAGCGAGCCGGATAACTATA